ACTTAAAAACATGAGAGTTAACTGAAATTGCACTGTCTACCTATAAAAAATAACTCAAATTAAAAAGTGCAAGATGTCTCTTTAAGTTTTAATGTTGGTCTATTTATTGAGATGTCTACATGACTATGCTTAGGCTGTCTTCAAAAAGCACTGTATTTGCATTTTTATTTCTGGATGTTTCACATAAACTCTCCAAATTATACAGTCAGCGTAATAAAAGCTAAACTAAAATGAAACATTTTGTAACAATACAAACTAAACGGAAACAACTAAACCTACTTTGGAATTTGAAATGACACTGAAAACAAAAACGTATTAAAATGAAAACTAATTAGATAATGCAAAACTGTAATAACTCATCCAGACTTACAGATGAGGACAGAATTATTAACCCCCTTATGAAAATGTATATTTTAAAATGCTTTCTTTTTTTCCTTGTCTTTTCCTTCCTTCTTCTTCTTCTTCTTCTTTTTTTTTTTACTCTTTCCCAAGTTCTTAAACAGAGCAAAGGATTTTTAACACAGCTTCTCCAAACATCCCAGTTTGATTTTGGACACAGAAAATCAATTATTCCATAAGCACCAAAATGACCAACATCAGCATTATTAGCTCTCTGATGCTAACAGTCAGTTGTGTATCCTTTGCTGGATAACAGCCTGTAGGCATTTGTTGTAGTTTACAACAAGTCTCGCACACATCTCCCAGCCCATTCTTCTTCTGATGAATCTCTCAATCTCTTCCAGATTTGATGGTCCTCTGGTATGGATCTTGGTCTTCAGTCAACCCATCGATTTTCAGTGGGATTCAAGTCAGGGCTTTGCACAGGCCAGTCTGTAACATTGACTTTGGTCTTCTGGAAGTATTTCTTCACTAAAAGTGGCATATGTTTTGGGTCATTGTTGCGTTGGAAAACAAAGTGACGACCAAGACCCAGTTTTGCTGCTGACTGCTTGAGATTTTCTTTTGAAATCTTCTTTCTTCGTGGTTCCTTCATGCTTGACGAGATTCCCAGCTCCAGATGCACTGAAGCATCCACACAACATAATACTCCCACCCCTGTGTTTTACTGGGTCTCTCTGGCCAAACAGCTCTAGTTTAATAATTTCTTACTGGAGGATGTGCTTCCAGTATGTATAATCTTTCTCCAGGTTGTCCTTAGCATACTTCAGTATGGCTTGAAGGCGTCTCTTCTGCAGAAGTTGAGTTTTTCTTAGTCTCTAACCTCACAGCCCATCCCTGCGCAGGGTTCTAGTGATTGTCTTCTTGAGACTACTGTTCCTGACTTGGCTAAGTCATTTACTAGTGTCTTGTTCTGGGGTGTTTAGACACATCTCTCAGTAGTTTTCTTTCCAAACTTTTTGAAATCTTTCACTTGCTAATCTCTGCAAGGCTTGTTCTGTACTGTGTGGCTCTCTTTGAATTTCTTGATGATACTTCTCACTCCAGTTCTTGACAGTTAGAAACGCAGTGATAATTTTGTATGTCCATCTCCTGGTTTGTGACCATCAACAATTAATTTTCTCAAGTCTAAACTAATTTATTTCATTTTGGCATTATGCTTTCTCAAGTGACAGCTCAAATCAAATACAGAACAAAGATTTTTGTTCTGTGTATAAATTGGAAGAGAAGCCTCAGTTTTAACTTGATTTTACAAGCTTTGACCATTACACAGCTAAAGCAAATCATTGTAGACCAGTGGTTTGTTTCTATGGCTCAAAAAAGGTCAGTTTTTCAGGGGGCTAATAATATTGACCCTGGTAATTTTTCTTTTCTGAAATAATTCTGTTGTTGTTTGCAAATAGGAAAAAAATCATGCTCTCTAAAGACAACAATATTTTTAGAAATGCTATGAGGAAAATTTGTTTCTCTGTTAAAAAAGCAGTTGGGAAAACTTTAATTAAAAATTTAAATTTCAAAGGGGCTAATAATTTGTCTTCATCTGTAAACCAAGTTATTTGTTTGCCATGACTGTTGTTTGTGCGCTTTCTGTTCTCCTCTACTCTGTCTTTTCTTACACCACATGGACAAAGTATGGAGTGACTTTGTGTATGTGTTTTTAGTGTTTTCTGTCTCATTGTCTCAGGTATATAATATCATGCACCTAGCCATGTCTTTACAAACATTTGTGAAAGAATGGTTTTTTCTAAAAAGCTTGCTGAATTAAAGCGTGATACTACCAAGATTCCATGATCAACCGCGGAATAAAAATTACAGATCTGAGGCACATACTGTATATATTTCGCCCATGCACTGCTGGCTCAATAACTACAGAGTTCCACACCACAGCTGCCATTAACATCAGCACAAATACGTGGTTTCCATCGCTGAGCGGCTTCTATAGGTATAATCTGTAAGTGCCCCAGTAGTTTTTCCTATGTAGTGTAACCCTTTTCACCATCTGGTCAAGCCAGATGGATGAAACTCCCTTAAATTGAGTCCACCAGAGGTCTTTTCCTATTAGGAGAAAGTTCTTCCTCCTTACTGTCGCCAAGTTTTTGGTCATGTGGATGTAATGTCATTCACACTGTATGCATATGTTTGAACTCTCTGATATTGTAGGGTCTTAATGTTAATTTATGTTGTGTTACTTTGCTTTAAAATACAATGCTCTTCTATTTAATGTTTTGGGAAGTTCTATGTGCCATGTTTCTGTGTGCCTGTATTTCTTTAAGAGTCAAATAAATATGCCATTTTTGTTTGCACTTCTACTGATGCATGGACTAGTGACTCTGTTGGCTCTTCCAGTATCACTGACATTAGATGACAGAAGTCAAATGCTATAAATTTCTGTCTCCCATGTAAATGATCACAGGCTGTCAGCCACGCTTGTCAAATTAAACGTTTACCATAGTTGGTAAACATGCCATTCCATCTTTGCTCTGCAATGCAGCTTTCACGCTGTCAAATGCTTAGGCATTAGAAACTCTTTCTGGTGCTACAAGCTGAATTCCAGCTACAGAAATGGACCAAATCGGAGTTTTCTCACGTCTTGTTTTCAGTGCTGTGTAGACACTAAACAGTCTACTTTCTTTGGGTTCTTTAAACTTAGCCAGTGGACTGCAGCCATTAGCACTTATGGGTTGCAGTTTCCCAGTTTCCTCTCACTTTAATGTGATTTCGATTAGATCGGCTGGAATGAGACAGACGTTAGGTTTGGTGACATTTTAAATGTCTGTTTAGAAAACTGTTGCTGCAGGTGATGTTGCCCGGCAGCTGTTTATTTGTACTCCCCCTGTAATATTTTCCCGCCACACAGTCATCAGATAGCACATTTTTCAGAGACACTGCAAACTTCATTATTATTTTTTTTTTACCCCTTTTGTGTTGACAAAGAGAAATAGTCCGGGGAAAATAATAACTTTGTTAGTGATTGTATAAAAGTGCCAGCTCAAGTACCAGCAGCTCTGCTGAATTTATACCCACACTTGAGCATTTCCTGACAGTACTTAAGATAGACTGCCTGTCTAAGTTTTGTCCTCTTTGTAAAGACTTGAGCAAGCGATTATTATTTTAGAAAGTGAGTGTGAAATGCCTGCCTGCCATTTTAAACAATATCACCCCTTGCACAAGTTCCACGTTTTAATTCAGGATTCTTCACTTGCCATGTCTCTCTCTTGCAATGACTCTGGCTTAACTTAACCACACGTAACATCCATTGTTTTGTTCTGTCACAGCTGTTGTTTATCACTAATTTGCAGAACTGATGCAACTCTGTAGGATTTAATAAGCCCTACCTTTCCGCAACATTTACCTGCAGGCTCTGCCTGCCTTCCTTTTCAGGTAGTCTGGCAAACAGCAGTTCAGGTGCTCAGGCGCTGTGTGTGTGTATATGTATATAAGTTACTTGAAGATTCACATCAGCATTGCTTGCTAAATTTGACAACTTGGAAATAATTTAGGGAGGAGCAAATCAAGTGCCTGTGAGCCATACAGTGAGTAACTTGGCCCTACAAGCTGTGCCAACGTCTTGTGTGCCAAATGTGTGGCAAGAGGGTGGCACGAACAGCGTGCCAGCGCTAGTCTGCCTGGCTGCCAGGCACTTCTCTTTATCCAATCAGACAGTTCGGTTTGAGTGAGACCCCCTATTCTTGTCTCTTCCCATCTCCTCCCGAAGCTTTGTAACCCTCCCGTGAAAAGCACAGATGCACACTTGCACACTATTAAGCCTCCTCAGTACAGTTACACTTACCTATAGACCATAACCAGGGAGTGAATGGTGCAGAGTGCTCCCTCTTTTTGTTTCTGTCTGCTGCTGCTGCTGCTCTCTACTCCTCCATCTTTTTTTTCTTTTCTTTTTTTTTCTTAGACAACATCACAGGCTAAATGAGCATGCCTCAGTCTGTTTTTTAAGCATTTCATCAGCATTATAGAAAGAAGAGTGTGTCTAGAGATCTGTTTTTCGGGGATGTGTGAAAAAAAAAATGCTGCCTGTCTGTGTGTGGCTTTATTGGACATGATGAAGGATGATATTATGGTGGATGCTGCTGCTGCTGCTGGGGCTGCTGGGGCTCTGAGATGAGGAAGGATCACATTTGTCTCACACCCGCTTAGTATAATGTGTCTATCTGTCCCTCTCCCCAAGACTGGACATCAGTGTTCATCAAAATAAACATATTGTCAACACAGTTTTTCTTCTTCTTCTTTCTTTCTTTTTTCTTCTGGTAGTTTTTGTTAATTTTTCTCCCATTGCTGCTCTTCGCATATTTGCCACATCTAATCCAGAAAACACGTAACGCCACTGTGATTGCATGGATTTCTTTATCGCTGAAATTTTAATCTATAGATGGACACGGAAGTGGTAACCCGACAACACAGCGTGAACTCTGATTTATTATGTGTGAGAGGGGTGCTGGGGAAGAAATCAGTGTAAAGGAGCGAAAATAAATATTCTAAGAGCAATTACTGCGAGTAGACGAGCTGCGATTCAATAGAGAGAAGGTGATGTGAGGTACTTGCCGAAAAGATTAAGCTAATGTCGGCACTCCTCTTATGTCTTCCAGGTTGATGATGCCATGCTTATGTTTGATAAGACTACTAACAGACATAGAGGTAAGTGCACAGCTTCTGTTCCCCCTTTCCTGATGTTTTTTTTCCCCCTCTGTCTTTCCGAAAGGTGAGAAAATAGTCATTTTATGTCCTTTCCCCATGAGATAACACAGAACAGTTCCATTTCACATGATATTAGGTGTGCCATCTGTTCAACAATGGGAGCGTGTCAAAGTAATCAATAAGCTGGTACGGTGTTTAGAATGTTTGAGCATTAGATGGCGAGTGTGTGCGTGTGTGTGTGTCTGCGATGATGCTGGTGTGAGTGTTTCAGAGAGGTGCTTAAAGGGTGTAAAGATTGCGAGATGGTGGGTGCTGTGCAGTCAGATAACAGCATCAGATAAGACCCAAGAGAAGCACTGACTTTATCGCTTTATCTCATCAGCTCCTTATCTGAGATGAGGGGGGACATTTCTCTCTCAAGCAGAAGGACTTTCCAAAGACAGGTTTCCTCCCTGCACCACAATGCGGCGTCGGCGTATTTAAGCCAAGCGACACTCTTTTAGGCCCCGACTTAACCACCGGCAGACACGTATATAGGCCTGTCACTTATCCTCAAAACTGTGCGATGGTTGGTATTGCTGCCTCACACAGGTACGCTAAAGGAACTTTTTAGGAGACAGACTGTCCCTGGCTGTTTATGCCTGTATGTATCATTGTGTGCGTGAGCAGTCGACAGGCGCTGACAGGTATTTCCACAAGAAAAAGGAGCAGACACTGCTGTGTTTGTCACGCCAGTCAGCTCACTTGTAGGCAGAGCTGGCATCACAACCCTCTCACTCAGCTGGGCTGAGCATATAGATGTAAATATTTGTTTGCAGCGAAGAAGTCGTCCCCTCAAAGCGTATAAATGTTTAAGTGCAGTGTTCTGGGATCGAAAGCAGTTATTGTTTTGCGAGTGAACTCTGTCTTTGGTTTTTAAGCTATATCCGTGTGTGAGTGCTGTGCAGGCAAACTCTTTTGAGTCTGGTAAACAGTTTCTAAGTGTGAAACATGTGAACTATAGTGGAAGTGATCTATGGCTTTGAGGGGATTTTGATCTGTAGTGACAGAACCCAGTGTGAGGTCTGCTTTGAGACGAAGGCTTTTCTCTCACTCTCTCTTATTTCTCGCTCTTCTCTCTCCTGGCTGCTGCACCGCCAGCCCTCTGTGAAAGGGGCTGGGCGCCATGCTTGGAGAGTGTGTTAGGCGTTTGCCTTTGGGCAGCAAAATGCCCTTCAAATGAAGACAGTGATGGAGAAACAGCCTCCTTGGCAATTTTTCTGATGACAGCGGGCATATTTATATTGAGTGTGACACGGAGACAGGCGTCAGGTGCAGTTCTTCCTGCGGTTGCTGTTTTGTCTAAGTAGCGTTTTGATTATTTGTTCCAGTGGGAATTTGACACGGTAGATATTTGCTTTTTTTCATCTTGGGGAAAAAAAAACATAAAAAGCACAACAGGTCTTTCAGATGAATGGTGCAGAATATTACAAACCTCTAAGAAGTTATTCACCAGAGCCATTAATGTGACTGGTCATATTTTTATTTGCTATATTTACTTGAACATCGGGAGGTTATACTGTAAAAAGAAAAATGCTATTTTTACTACTAAAAACCTTTTAAAGGTGCTCTTTTACTGCAAAGGTTCAGATGGCCTCATTTGAATGTCATTTCTGTAGCTTTTTTGTTTTTCTCCCAAAACATTTCTTACCTAAGGTCAGTGCTGTATATTGCTGTATAATGCGATGTTCTGTTTTTTTGGGGGGTTTTTTGGAAGAGCTTATTGTGTTTGAGATGCATGATCGACACTTGATTGTGAGTGTTTTCTTTGGGGCTGTGGTGAATTGGATAGAGGACAAACGTCACACTTCACTAGTAGCAGCATTGTCCTTCAGACGGTCCCTGCGAGCCTGGCGAAACGACAACCAGAGGAGACATTCTCTACCCTTCTCGTTTCTACCTTTTCTTTTTTTTTTTTTCCTTTTTACTCTCTATCTCTCCCGGTCATTCAGTCTTATTTGTTTTTCCTTTTCTTCTATCCAGTCACACTATTTCTGTCCCCAAACCATCTCCCATTCTGGCCTGTCTTCGCCATCTCTTGTCTTTCTCCTTCTGTCTCTCCTGTTAGAGGACACTCGCTGTAAGCAAAGCTCCTCACAAAGGCACACGCTGCACACCATCTCCTTGGCATTTAAAGGAGTAGAATACAGCCAATTGTGTTGGAAATTGAACTCTCTAAAGCCTCCCTTCCCGCTGCAGCAGTTCATTGTGGGTGAGTTCAGTGTCTTTGCTGAGCGGCTTGGGCTGTCCAGAGGTTGATGCCAGAGGGCGCCTATTGTTCCATGTTCTACTGCAGTGTCCCGTCCCCCCCCACCACCACCACCACCACCTCACCCCACCCTCACTGACTCCTGCTCCGCCTCCCTACAACCTTCCCCTTTTTCTCCTGACATTCATTTTGTGACAGAGAGGAGAATTTCAGGGCATTATTTCACAAGATATTTTTAACTTTTCTTGTTTATGGGTGGTTTATTCGGTTGTGCAGGAGGTCCAGCAAACAGTGCCTTTGCTCCAAAACACAGACTGGGGACAGGGCCATGAGCACAGCAGTCACAGACTACACATACCAGTCATCATTTCCAACCCCCTCAACATGCCTTCACATGCCAAAATTGGATGACAAGACAAGCTATATGGGGGGGAAATAAAAGCTTTTGGTATAGCCCTGAGTCAAAAATCGTTCTGTCATCCCTTTACCTCCTCCCGGCTGGCTGACATATGATCTATGATCTCAAATGTGATTTTCACTGTCAAACACAATTGGCAGTGCCATGAAGAGTGTTATAGGGGTGCAGAAAAATGGCATCTGTAAACGGATGGGATTGAGAGCATGATGAAAGAGTGGCAAATATCATTATCCGCCAAAGCATTGGGGTTTAATTTGTGAGTTACAAGTTACAGTAGATGATAAATGAATTCTTTGTCTTGTTACTCGTAAGCGTCCCTTATTAAGTGCTACTCTACCACACCGTAATTAGCCCTGCTTCTCCACCACAGTAGCACTCTCATTGTACCCCACGTGTAATTCAAAAGGTACCTTGTACAAGGTGAAAATATTTAGCATAGATATTATCCACAAGCAGCTTCCCAGCATCACTCTTACTACACACAAATCAAAACAAGAACAACATGCACAACAGAAATTAGAGCAATGCAATTCCGATGCTAAAATATACTTGCAAGTTTCACGGATGATGATTATGATAATGATGATGATGATGATGACAGATCAAGCAGTCCAGCACGGCACAGTCTCCATGGCAACTTGATCTGGTCACGATAAAAGCTTGGCTGCAAGCACCAATAGGAAAAGTGCATTTTTAATTATTGCTGCTTCCCATGGCGAAGCATGGAGGGTTTTTGTTGTTTGTTTGTTTTTTATTTTTTGATGACCTGAAGAAGAATTACCAAATCTAAACATCAAGCTTGGTGTCAATACAGTAGCTGAGATATCATCTCATTTTCTATTTGGCAGCTTCGCTCCAATTTCTATTGGCTGCAACAAAAAACTGTTTGAAAATTTAAACCAGTATAGTAAGTTGTTTTTTTGTTTGTTTGTTTGTTTGTTTTTTGCCTGTCCCGTTTGGATCTTTAGCCATCAGATTTATTGTCTGAAGGCCAAGAAAGATGCCTGGCGGATTTACTTTACCAAGTGGCTCATCATGGACTTGCCATATTGGTCCATTTGATTGACCTTCATTATTATTATGTATTTATTTTATTTTATTTTCTGTTGTTACAGATGGGACAGACATGACTGTGGGATAGAACAGGGAGAAAGAAAGAATAAAAGAAAGAGAGGGAGAGAAAGAAAAACAGAGGAGAAGAGATAGTGAGGAAGGGAGGAAGAAAAAAAATTACCTGGATCACCCGTCGAGAGAAGAAAAAACAGAAGAGAAAACAAACAAAAAAGAGCAAGATAATAAACACAACACCATCATAATAAACTAGCTAACAGTAAATAACAGTAGATACTAAATATTAAATGTTATTGTGCAGCACGCAAGATTGACAGCGCACAATGTGCTTTGAGGTAGCAGCCAAGAAAGGTGTAGTTTCTGTCTGTGAACACCCGTGTGTACACCTGTGTGCACACCTGTGTGGATCAGCACGCTTGTATTCAAAAGGTTTCTCCATGTAACGATGTGCTAGGGAGTGTGGGGAGCCATAGCCCCGTCCCCCAGGGCGTGAAGCAGGTATGGAGGAGAGGAGGTGTAGTAAGTTCTGTGAGGCTCTGAAAGAAGATCACCTCCACCAATTTTGGTCATGACTGGAATCATTTGCTACCTGAATGTGTTCAAAGTTTCAGTTAAATCCAGAATGGCAGTCTCGTCTATTAGGTTGGCATGGGGGAGGTAACTTGTGTCAGCCTTGATCTGTAATGCTTTTGCTTTTCTTTGGCACCTACTAGCAATCATTTGTGCTTCCAAGCAAGGTCATAATCAAGTGTCAACTTAGGGTTAGCTTTGGGCTTGACTTTATGTAAGGAATTAGATGGAGTGTAATCTTTAAAAATCTGCTTTATGCTTCCAGAGTTAAATGTATATTGTAAACACAACCTTAACTTTGACCTGTTCTTGCTGCAGGAGTGCTCAAACCACAGAAACAAGAAACGAGTGAAAAGAAAGTCTTATGTGGCCACCTGTATTTGTCTTCAAAAGTAAAACAATGCCCATAAATGCCCATGTTTTAAAAAAAAAACTGCTTTACAGCACAGATAAGAATTTTTACAGTCTGGTACTAAAGCTAACTTCCCCCTTTATAGCAACCGTCCAATAACTCACCCATAAAACTTTATTAAGGCTCAAAGTTAGGGATGTGGCTGCGTTGACTGACAGAACACAGGCTGCCGACTCATACAGTTGTGTAAGGCAACTGTCTGCTAGGCTCCACATCCAATCAATGAACTGGAGCTTTTGATTATGTTTGTAGTTTTTACCTCTTTTGGAGATTGTTTACTG